TAACTGTCTTAAAGATCAGATTTCTGATAACCTGACCTTTAAAAGGGATCCTCAGCACAAAAGGGGGGTGGGTCACGGCTAAGACTTGGGCTTATGCGCACAACAACTTAACTTTCCTAAATAGTAAGCTTTGCGAAGCACCTAGTTTCCAACAGTACAGAGATCCCATGCTCTGTCGCTAATCTATAGAGTTTAAGCCCTGTAACCACACTAGAGAAGTCAGGCTCTAGTTGCAAATCAGGTCAGCATTTTAGACCTGCCTGGGAAGAGGCAAAGGGTTGGATGCAAACCAGGTGGATAAAGGCATCTTCTACAAACCAACGCAGTTAACCAGGCCTTTTGTATCTTCAGTGATTTGGCATTCATACAACTTAGTCCACAACTGTAAGATGTCGTTTACTTCTTACCAGCAAAACCTGTTATCTTGTTATCTTTCAATTAAACATAGAATGACAAAAGGACTGAATCTTGGGCCGTGATAATTGGGCAGGAGGGAGATTGGTAAACAATTTCCAGATTTCCTGTGCTGTGTATAGTATTGGTTTGTATCATCCAATGTTCCCTCTAAGATGTGTAGTCTTGTGAGCAAAAATTCTACTTTGTGAGCTACTGGGATTAAAGTTGTGAGCAAGCAGTTTGGCTACTGTGTCAATTACTTTGCTCTGGAGCCCTCCTTCCTGAGCTAAGGCAAAAATGTGTGATCTAGCTCACACTAACTCAGCTTAGAGGGAACACTGGTCTCATCCTATTAGGCATTTTTTCATAGTTTAGTGAACCGTGAGTGCAGTCACACGTGGCAGATAATGCAGGGGGGGGGGACTGAGGCTATTTGCGCCGTAGCCATTTGACCTGCCACTGCATGATCAGATACAATGGCAGGTGAATCGAGTTTTTCCCCCTCGCTGCGTGTTTCCGGTGTGCTTCAATGAGGAATCACCGACGCAATGGGAGCGTGCTGGAGCGATCACACAGGGAAGTCTGTCTGCGGCCCATTGCGAACCCATTTGACACTGCACTTTCCCCGGTATTTTTTAACTCTGCTTCTTCGGCGAAGCAAAACGGGTTGCCGACGAGTGCGGAACGCTTGCCAGATGTTCCCATGTGATTGCGCCCTTAAAATCTGCCCGGCATTCGTGCCTATCACACGGCTACTTCTGCGTGGGATCAGGACCCATGTTAATACTTGTGCTTTGTTTCAGTTTTGTTCCAGATTTTTACTTGTTTTTAATTTTTGCATCCTAATCCTATGACACTGTTTGTGGGATGTCCCGTCCTATTGATTGTATCAACTCGCTCTGTGTAATCCGCCTTGAGTCTCAGTGAGACAGGCAGGCTGTAAATAATGTAAAACAAATAGTAAAACAATAATAATATCCAACAGGTAAAGGCCACAAAATAGACATCCCAGGCTTAATGTCTTTCATCTATTTACACAGGCCAACTTTTCTTGGGGGGTCTCCAGCCACTTTTTGGTACATTTGACCATTTTTACACTCTTTGCCTGTATCTTTTAAAGCCTTATTGTCCCCCAATTCAAATTCTACCACTTCAGTGTTTTATAACACTGACCTACTATACCCTGCCAGGGACTATCTTACAATACAAAAATAGGTTCTTTGCCAGCTGCATGCATGATCTTTGCTTCAGATAAAGATCAGATCTATGAATCCAAAAAAAACCCCACCACCCTAAAACACAACAAAAGTTGCTCAAAGCCAACAGGAATGCAGAGAGATTATAACATATAAACAGAGGGTCACTGCAGCCTTCACAAGATTGATTCTAGCTTGTAGCACAGCACAGGGTTGCCAAGTAGCGGGAAGGGGTCAAGCTTGTTTCTGTGCCTTCAAACAACATGCAGATCTGCAAGAAATCAGGAGATGAAGTTCTCCATGGTGTGGAAAGACGCATCACCGCCAGCTAATGTCTGCAGAGCAGGTTGCTGTTAAAGGCAGGTCTACTTGGAAGCAAGTCCCATTTTATTCAATGGGGTTTACACCATGGAAAGTGTTCTTAGGACAAGTGTTCTTAGGGAAAAAAAAGAAAACATATTCAGATCAATTTCAAACTAAATCAATATAAAAGAACAGAGGTTGTTCACCACCCCAGGTGATAACAGAGGCCGTATGTGCAAGGATCTCACCTGCCCAGGCATCCCACGGAAACTGAGGAACTACAGCTGCAGAAATGCACTGGCTTCAGTTTTGCTCTGAGCACCGATAAGGACAGGCAGGGAGGAGGAAACTCTGCTTTCTTCACACCACTTATCAGTCTCCACTTCTGCAGATTCCAGTTTGGCAGGCCTTAGAAAAACACCTGGCAAGGCCAAAGAAAACAAACTGGACTTCTCCCTAGACCCCAGGAAAGAGAGACGACCCTGCTGGCCTCTTTCTGCTGTGTGATCCCTGTGGGTAAAACTGGCATGCCCCCACCCCACCCCCGCAGCAGAGCTGGTCCTCTAGGACACAAAGGAATCTTCAGGGGTTGTGTCATAGTCAGTTGGCTGCGTGTTTCTGGGAATGTGTGTTATGTATGCACAAGACATGTCTCTGTGAAAAGGATCTCTTTCTTTACACAATGCCTAATTAATGTATAAATCAATTGCTACAAAAATTGGCTTAATGTCAGAAGATGACTGCACAGATTTATGGCAGGCCTTAGGTCTATTGGTAATTGTTAGCTACAACAGCTAAACAGAACTTCCTGGCAGTATACCACTACACACCAGAAGCTGAGAAAATCTTCAGGGGAGGGTTATCACCTTCATGTCTTGCTTGTGGCTAGCTGCCAGTGGGCTAGACAAACGCTTGGTCTGATCCAGCCAGGTTCCATTTACAGTAGCGAGCATGTGAGTAAACTTCAGAGTACAAAGAAGCCAAAGGAAACGGACCTTTTCAGTGGGTGAATGCATTTCACTAAACTAAATTTGAGAGAGAGGATGCAACATCTGGACAGGTTGACAAAGTGGCTCTTTTCCCCTACACCCCCCTCCTAAACACTGGCAACACATACATGGGAATGCTCCCTCCCAATACGCACAGTCATGTAGGGAAGTGAATGCACAGTGTCAAGAGTGCACGGATGCAAGCCTGTAGTCTGTGTGTATTGCGATATGGCAATATCTGTATTTCTCACCTCTGCCTTTGCACATAAGAGAAAATTTCCAGCCCCAGGTTGTGGTGCTCCCATAGGGAGGCAGCAGCTGAACGCCCACTGCGCTTCCCAATGAATGGGGCATCTGGCCTGGGAAATTCCCACAGGAAAGGCAGTGAAAACTAAACAGGGGTCTCCCTTGTTCTCTTCCCTGGGATTCTGAATCGTCTTTCTGTCCTTGGAGGTGTGAGGTAGCTGTGGAGTGGGTAGTGGCAACCAAGAAGCTCAGCACCCAGATGCAGGGCCAGCGTATGACATTCTGGTGCCTGCATAAGAAAATTCACATAGAATTTTCCAATTAACACAAGGCAGGATTTGCTGGGGAAAACTTCTGCACAAGCCCTGTTAAAATGAAAAGCAAGTGTGCTTTCACGAAGCCCCTATGCATTTCAGTGGGGCTTGTGCAGAAGAATGTCTCAGCGCCCCATGGGTGAAATCTTTCTACCACTCTGCCCTCTGGTGCCCCAAATTTGCTGCCTTGCTTTTTGACAGGGATGCCTCTGTCTGCATGCCATCCATCTGCACACTGTAAACAGTTTGTGTGCAGCGGCCTATTGGGGACCAGACGTTTATGAAAAATAGATGAGATGCTTAGGGGTGGCCAGGTGCAGGAAAAAGAAAGGGAGGTAACACTTTTATGCATTTTGAAGGAGGAAATGAATGCAACACTAATGTGCAAAACTAAGGCAGATTCACACCAAATGCTGTGATCTCCATGGAAGGCACAAAATTCACAAAGAACCCAAAGACACGTAAGTTGGGGGAGGATGAGACTTCCAGTGCAGATTTTTTCTATTGTTATCCCTCCAGTAAGATATCTTTTAACTGAGATAGAACTATGGACAGGCTAGAGTACGTTGGGTGTGCATTTGGGACATATGTTCAGCACTGTTTCCTAGTCATAAACTGTGCAAAGGTGTGGGATACATAGGAGTACACAGAATGGACTTCAGCAGAGAACAGGACAGTGGAAGCAGAATTTTCTTGGGAAGGGGGTGGGTGGGTTGTTATTTAAAGAAGCCACAAGGTGGTGAACAGAAATAGGAAAGAAGTTGTGCCAGAGATGTGGGGATTTGTACAGGGTGCAAGGCATGGCAGCAGTGAACTGTGTGACCTGTGCATGGAGAAATATGGGACTCTCCATAGCAGATGCCAAAGTATGGGGCATTCAAGAGTAGGAGCTAGTGTGTGGACAGAGAGGGGGGCTGTGCAGAAGGATCTGTGGGGCTTGTGAGGCAGCATTAGGTGCATGGCAGAGTTGTGGGGTCTCTAGCGTGCACGGAAGAAAGTCCAAAGGGACAAGCCCAGCACAGAGAGGGGTCCAAGCAGCAGCTGGGAAAATTCTCCTTTGAGTGCCCCGTTTCCCCACTTAGCAACAGCAGCCATGAGAAGGAGAGTGGATGAGCAGGAGGGGTTGGATGGGGGGACGCCTCTCCTTCAGGGCAATTCCTGTCACCTGGGCTGGGAAAGAGCCGGCTGCTCCAGGGATTACCCAGCCAGTTCCCGGGCTGGTTCTTTACCGGAGATGCTCCCTAGGCTTGCCAAGTCCCCCAGGGGGGCGGGGAAGCCCCAGTGAGCAGACACACTCCCTAAGCGGCGCTGGAGTCCCCCGCTCCAGACTTGCTCCCCCACCCCCAACCCCGTGACAGGCCAGGAGGCAAGGGGGCTGGGATGAGCCCGGGCTGGGACTGGCCCCGCCTGGCAGGCGAGGGCGGTGTCTCCCGAGCCCCCCTCTTTAATAGCTCTCCCACCCGGGGGCTGCCGCAGAAGGTCGCCTCTGCCTGCCTGGCGCCGGGTGCTTTGGAGGGACGCAGGGGGGCGGCTGCAGCAGCAGCAGCAGGAGGAGCATGGAGCCGCACCCGCAGTACGAGGACTTGGCGTACGACTACGACGGGGTGCCGGCGGGCAACTGGAGCGGCGGGGCCGCCGGGGCGCTGCAGTGCCACTGGGAAGAGGCGGAGACGGACTGGGAGGTGTCCTTCTCCCTCCTGCCGGTCCTCTACATGCTGGTCTTCGTGCTGGGGCTGTCGGGCAACGGGCTGGTGATCTTCACGGTGTGGAGCGGCCCGCGGGCCAAGCGGCGCTCGGCGGATACGTACATCGGCAACCTGGCGCTGGCCGACCTGGCCTTCGTGGTGACGCTGCCCCTGTGGGCGGCCTACACGGCGCTGCGCTTCCACTGGCCCTTCGGCTCGGCCCTCTGCAAGCTGAGCAGCTACCTGGTGCTGCTCAACATGTTCGCCTCGGCCTTCTGCCTGGGCTGCCTGAGCTTCGAGCGCTACCTGGCCATCGTGCACGCCCTGCCGCGCTCGGCCGGCCGCCCGCCCTCCTCCTCCTCCTCCTCGCGGCCCCGCGCCTCCACCCTCCTCTCGCTGGCCGCCGTCTGGCTGCTGGCCGGCCTGCTGGCCCTGCCGGCGCTGCTCCTGCGCGACACCCGGCCCGGCGGCCGCCGCCCGGACAACTTCACGGCCCTGGAGTGCGACATGGACTTCAGCGCGGTGGCCTCCAGCCCGGCCGAGGAGGACCACTGGCTGGCGGCGCTGAGCCTGGCCACCACCGCGCTGGGCTTCGCGCTGCCGCTCCTGCTCATGACGCTCTGCTACTGCTGCATCGGCGCCACCGTCAGCCGCCACTTCCGCCAGCACGCCCGCAAGGAGGAGGGCAAGCAGCGGCGCCGCCTCCTCCGCATCATCGTCACGCTGGTGGCCGTCTTCGCCGCCTGCTGGCTGCCCTTCCACCTCCTCAAGAGCCTCTACGTCCTCCACTGGGTGGGCCTCCTCCCGCTGCCCTGCGCCCTGCAGGAGCTCATCCCGCGCCTCCACCCCTACGCCACCTGCCTGGCCTACGTCAACAGCTGCCTCAACCCCTTCCTCTACGCCTTCTTCGACAGCCGCTTCCGCGCCCACTGCCTCCTCCTGCTCGGCCTCCGCAAGGCGCTCCGCGGCCAGGCCGGCTCCGTCTCCTCCACCCTCAGCGGGCAGACGCAGAAGTCCGAGGTGCCCTCCCTCGGCACCAAAGTCTAGGGCCGGCGCGCGACCCCACGCCTCCCCTCCGCGGACTCCCCAAGGCGCAGACTCGGCTCCACGAACTGGCGGGAGGAGGAGACACGCGCGGCGCGGGGCAGGTGACTTTGGACTGGGCGCCCCTCCCCGGCAGCGCGCCTTCGGGTTCTCCCGCCCAGCAGCACTTGGACTTGTGGGCAATGTTCCCTCTAAGCTGAGTTAGTGTGAGGTAGCTCAGTTTTTTAGCCTCCGTCTCACACATTTTTCGTCTTAGCTCAGGAAGGACGGCTCCAGAGCAAACTAATGCAGCAGCCAAATCACCAACTTTAATGCCAGTGGCTCACAAAGTAGGATTTTTGCTCACAGAACTCTGCAGCTTAGAGGGAACATTGCTTGTGGGACTTCCTGGCCGAGCCGTCCCCCCGCGCCGTCGGACTCTGGCTTTCATTCTGGTGCTAGCCTCTCCGGCCGCTTCGGCCTCCTCGGTTTCCCTCCGCGACCCGCGCTTTTGGGCAGGTCCCTGCGGCGGGCGATCCCCTTCCTTTTGTAATCAATAAAGGGTGTGTGTTTGACTGCTTCCTCAGGAAAAGAAAAAAACCTTCAAGCAGGCGTGACTTCTGTTTTATTTTAATCCCGGGGAGGAGGGGAGCAGGAGCCCGAAGGAGGGGAAGCGATGCTCCAGGCCGGGTGGCCCCCTCGGGGCTCCCTGGGCTGGCCCTCCTTTCTGGGTGGCGGGAAGGGAGATACTGCAAGGCTGCAATCCTAAAAGCACTTACTAGGGAGTAAGCTCCATTGACCTTATTTAGGAATTACCTCTGGGTGTGTTATGTTTGGGCTGGTGGCTCGAGTGGTTAAGACGCTGAACTGCCGACTGGAAGGTCGGTGGTTCGAGTGTCGCATGACGGAGTGAGCTCCTGTCTCTGGCCAGCCTTGCAGTTCGAAAGCAAGATATTGCAAGTAGTTAAATCAGTACCGCTTCGGTAGGAAGGTAACAGCGTTACGGTGCGCCTCAGCGCCGTTTAGTCATGCCGGCTACATGACCATGGAAACGTCTTCGGACAGCGCTGGCTCTTCAGCTTGGAAAGGGAGATGAGAGCATCACATCCCTAGAGTCGGATTCGACTGGCTTTCGAGCAAGGGAAACCTTTACTATGTTATGTTTAGGATTGTGCACTTCAGGGTGGGGAAAGGGGTGGTGAGGAGGGGTCCCTGCAGCCCCAGAGGATTAGATTCAAAGGGGGAAATCTTGCAGAGTCTGACTTCTGAGCAAGGTTGAGACCAAGCATCTTTTTAAAAAAAACAAACCCCACACACACCCTTTTCCAACTTTCACCTGCAGATTCCTACCTACATGTCATTTGCCCACAATAGGTGGCCTTGGTCTGTATTAATGCTAGGGATTTGAACCCCCCCCCCAAACAGATTCTTCCCTGTTGCCCAGTTTTTCCCTCGCCCTCACAGACCAAAAGGCTGGGAAGGGGAGGATGGCAGGCAAAGACTGGAAAGAGAGCAGGAGGTTCATGGACAGAGTCCTGTCTCTCATAGTCTGTATGCCCTGCGGAACTCACTGACAAAACTGAAGTAGATTTTAAGTCTTTAGTGCTAACCAAGGCTCAGCAACATTAAACTTCAGAAGATAAAGTGCTCAACCTGAAGTGGGTATATCAGTAACAAGAGTGCCTCTGAACATGTGCAGCGTGCTTTTCCTTCACCGTTAATAACCATGACTGGCATCCACACTTTTGGGGTTCCAGGGATGAGGCTTATGGCTGGGGACAGGCTAGACTTGAGTCACTGTTACCTGTGCTGAACCCTGTTCATAGGACTGGTAGGCTTTGTATGCCCTCCGGGGAGGGCGGGATAAAAATGTGAATAATAATAAAATAAAAAATTTGACTAGAGACAATAGTGGGTCAAAAAGAATGTGTGTCTTCTGCAAGGGCAATAGTACCATCTTCATGTCACCTTCACCTTTCTAGCTTTGTCTAGGGCTGTAGATGTGTTCTGCAAGGTATTAACCAAGAGTTAATGCAGCCCAAGACGCTCCAAGTAGCTGTCTAGTGAATGTGGCAATCCTTGCTTATCCAAATAGCCTCATAAAGTGGCAGGTCCAGTCCTAAGAAGAGGAGTAGGTTTTTGTATCACACTTTTCTCTACCTCAAAGAGTCTCTAAGCGGCTTATGGTCACCTTCCCTTCCCCTCCCCACAGGAGGCACCTTGTGAGGTAGGTGGGGCTGAGAGAGTTTTGAGAGAACCCTGACTGGCTCAAGGTCCCCCCAGCAGGCTTCATGTGGAGGAGGAGTGGGAAATCAAAGTCCACCTATCTTAACTACTACACCACATCCCAAGCCCCCATTCCGTTCCCTGTCCACAGCTGTGTTAACTGCCTACCAGGGTCCCTGACTCATACTGTTTTCTTACTCTTCCTGTCCTGATGGGCTCCTGTCATCTTTACAGTTTTGTGTAAACCTAGCAGTTCGAAAGCAAGAAATTGCAAGTAGATAAATAGGTACCACTTCAGTGGGAAGGTAACAGTGTTCCATGCGCCTTGGTGTTTAGTCATGCCGGCCACATGACCACGGAAACGTCTTCGGACAGCGCTGGCTCTTCGACTTGGAAACGGAGATGAGCGCCGCAACCCCAGAGTCAGATTTGACTGGCTTTAGAGCAAGGGAACCTTTACCTTTTTACCTCCTGCTGACATCTAATTGCTTGATTCCAGGACTGGCACAAGCTAGGTGGAAATACTACACAAATGGTATGTGTGTGTGTTGTACCTCTAGACCAGGAACCAGTAGAGATATGATCAGAAGGGATGAGTTAACCCTCCTTTCCCCAGCGCTGTGGCCCCAATCCAGATTCTCTCATCAGTTACACCTCTGGAGACAGACTTTAGCATCAGAAGCTCCTTGCTGATAACATTTCGATGAATAAAACAAAATTCGAGTCCAGTGGCACTTTTAAGACCAACAAAGTTTTATTCAAGATATAAGCTTTCGTGTGCATGCACCCTTCTTCAGATACCCACCTGAATCTATATCCTGAAGCATAGTTTTCTAAACACAGATACAAAAGCCACTGAATACTGTTCTATCAGGAGCAAGAAAAATAATACAAAACAGTGTTTCAGGTCAGAATCTTAAAAGGTCTTTCGTGCACATGGTGTGTAGAATGCAAAGCAGACTTACATAGATAAAATGGTGTTAAGTGGAGAGTCATGTTGCACTGTTGATCTAGGAAGAAACAAAAATAGAAGCATCCAATTGAAAATACAGAAACCAGAAGCTGATGAACACTGACACTAAACAGAGCCCATTAGTCCCTTAAAAGGCTAAGGGGTTGATTCCCACACTACAAAGGCCATGAATCCCCACAAAAACTTTGAATCAGACATGTGCCTGGAGTTCCATGCTGGGAATTCAGCTCCCCAGGCATGCAGAACCCTGATTTAGATTGGGACAATCTTGCACAGGGTGAAGGGGCTTCACCCTCCCCCCCCATGCTGTTTTCCTGACCCGAAACTGTGCGTTTGTGGGGGTGTTGTTGTTTGCCTCACTGGGGAAATTTACATGTACTTATGGCTATATGTAGGAGCTGCGGTGGCTCAAGTGGTTAAGACGCTGAACTGCAGGCTGTGGAAGGTCGGTAGTTCAGCAGTTCGAGACCCGAGTGTGCTGCATGACGGAGTGAGCTAGTTCCAGCTCCTGCCAACCTAGCAGTTCGAAAGCAAGACATTGCAAGTAGATAAATAGGTACCACTTCGGTGGGAAGGTAACAGTGTTCCGTGCACCTTGGTGTTTAGTCATGCCGGCCACATGACCACGGAAATGTCTTCGGACAGCTGCTTGCTCTTCGGCTTTGAAAAGGAGATGAGCACCACAACCCTAGAGTCGGATTCGACTGGCTTTCAAGCAAGGGAACCTTTACCATTACCTATGGCTATATGTAGGTTTTCCCTAACAGGGCAAATAGCTGCTCCTTAGACTTTCAAGTTAGGCAGTTGGTATGTGGATGGTGAAGGTATCGCCCCCTTTCTCCACATGCACCTGAGAATTGAGTTCCTAACATAGAACTCCAGGCACAAGCCTGTTGACAGTCCACATGAACGTGTAACATGTGAATTGGCCAGGCACAAGCCTGTTGACAGTCCACATGAACTTGTACGGTAACATGTGAATTGGCCCTGAGAGCAGAGGGAAAGCACAGTGGTTATTAATACACATTCTGGAGATTAATTTCTGTTGATGTACTAGATAAAGAATCCAGGGAAACTAAGCTGGGGGATATCATCTAGTGGGGGGGGGCAGAAGTGCAGAGTTTCCCAGGTTCTTCTTCTGTCTAGCTGAAGAATCCTGCTTTCAGTGAGTCCAGCTGTTGCCAAAGTAGACAGAGGTTGCGGGTGGCCACACTGGTCCAAAGTCAGAAGCCATGTCATATTTCTAGCACATCTGTAACCAAAAGAGGAAAACACTGTATATTTTGGAATAGGATGCCATCAATATGATGATGACATCCAACTCTACCTTTCTTTATCCAAATCACCTGGTGATGCTACAGAGTCTCTGAAACAATGCCTGACTGCTAAGGGAAAACAAACTTGAAACCAAATACTAACAAGACAGAGGTAACATTGATTGAGAAGGCTAAGTCTTTAAAGGACATAGGGCTTCCCAGTTTCAATGGAGACCACTAGTCTCTTACGAAGTTAAGAGCCCAGGCATGATTCTGGTTCCAGCTTTGTTGTTGGAGAAGCAAAGCTGATGAAGCCGCAAAAAGGGTGTTCTACAGACTCCACTTAACTTAGAAGATGGCCCCCTACCTTGCCTTGACTGACTTGCTATGGGTACATCAAGGCTAGATTACATAGGTCTGCCCTTAAAGATGACTCTGAAGCTACAGTTGGTTAAAAAATGCCATGGCTAAGTGGAATCTACATATCAGCCCCACCCTGCAGACACTCCATATCAGGGTCTGGGCTCCATTCAAGGTCTTAACTATCACTTACAAAGCCCTAAATGGCATGGGAGTCACATACCTGCAGGGCTGCCTCTCCTGCAATGCTCCACTGTGATAGCTTTGCTCATCAGAGCAAAGCCTTCTGAAGGTGCCACCCTGCAAGCAGGTATAATTGGCAACTGCATGTTCACAGAAATTCTCTGTGGTGGCTCACACAGTATGGAACAGTCTGCCTGAGGCTGTTAGGAAGG